GCTTAGGGTTTTTCACTAATACAGTTTATGATCAATTTACGTAGCCATGATTTGTAATCTTTTGAAGGGCTATGGTCAATATTTTTACCCACCCAATAATCAACGTTTTTTCGAATTGTCAATGTTGTCTAATAGGCCTGTTAATTATGTTATGTTGTGATACTAACTTTTTATTGTCGTTTTGTAATTGTGTTATCAATTTGTTTGTAATCGGCATTAATTAACTAATATAGTTTATTATCAATTTAGTTCATAGTGATTTGTAATATTTTGAAGTGTTGTGATCAATTGTGCATGATTTGATAATGTCACGTCTTATTATTAAGCGTGTGTTATTATTAATCTCTCTACTGAATTTACGTGTAATATTATCAATCTTAGTTTATTATTAACTTTTCTTCGTCCATTAGTAATATTTTCAAAGTCATGTTCAAGTTTTTACTAGTATTAATCTATCGGTTGAATTAACGAGTAGTATTAACAATCTTTGTTCATTATTAACGTTTTTTCAGCATTAGTAATATTTTCAACGTAATTATCAAAAAAAATTGTAGTGCTACATGATATACCACAATCCAAGATCTGTAAGAACAAACTGATTGTCGGCCCGCTACGTCCGTCGCTTGCCATAAAAAAAACGCGATGGAGTTGTCAACGTAACGGAAGAGCCTGTGGATTGAGCAGCTAGTTGATTGAGGTTTTCAAAAGCAATGTAACGGATTTGTCAACATTTTCAACCGTACATATTAATGATTTGGTATATGTTATTAACATTTTTTACTGACGCTACTAGAATTATGAATAAAAAAATGCGATTTAATGGTCGTATTGTCCACAGTATTAACCGCTCGACTCTTTTTTTTTTTTGGTCGGGAAACGGGACGCTTAAAGGGCGTCCCAACCTTTATGCATTAACAAAACGTGGAGTTTCAACTCCGATCCTGTCAAAATACAACCAGTAGGCTAAATCGCTCGACGTGGTATCAAAGACATGAACACCAATAGGATAGTTATGCCCTATGGAGGCCAAGTAATCTGCAACATAGTTACCCTCCCTGAATACGTGATCGATCCGAACCTGCCACGGAAACTGAAGCCAACGCCGGATCTCTGCTATGGCAACGAAATGTGGGTGGTGATGAGAAGCCGTCTCGATAAGAGTCTTCGCTATGAGAGAGTCAGTCTGTAGAATAACCTTCCTAGCCCCTAGTTCCCAGGCGAGTTTCAATCCCTGCACAATCCCAGCCAGCTCTGCACGGGTAATGGAACCCCCTCCAAGGTTCATAGTGAAAGCTCGAATGAACCGGCCATCGCCCCCCCTAACGATGCCGCCAGCTGCCGTACTCGAAGGAGAATGGGTGACCGAGCCATCAGTGTTTAGGCACACCCAATCTTGCGGTGGTGGCTGCCAGCTAATAAGTCGTCTTTCGTGAGGTCCCCCTCCTCCGAAGACCGTCTTCTCCTTCTCAAACGCGGCAAGAATTTACTGCTTTAGCTGTTTGGTGTGAAACTGGATTTGTGCAGGGAGTTGTAGCTCGTCTTGGAACACGTGACTATTCCGGTTTTTCCACAGAAGCCAACAGGTGCATGCGAAGAGTGTACTATCCACAGTGTTGCTTCGGCCGACAAGGTAGTGAAATAACCACTGCTTCCGAGGCTGGTCGAAAAATGAGGTGTCGGTTCGATGTCCAGCAAGTCGGCCCAAGTAGCTCTGGCTAACGAACAGTCTCGCAGGATGTGGATGGTAGTCTCTGGTCCGCCTCCGCATATTTTGCACATGGTTTCTTGGGTGAGATGGCGGCGGCTTCTTTCTGAATTGGTCAGCATGCGATCATGAGTAGCTAACCACATGAATGCCCGAACTCGCTGACCGGTGCGCGCCAAATCGATCACCAAATGGAATGTGCTGCAGGAGCTTCCTGATTCTGCGACAGAAGTTGGTATGCCGTGCGGACTGAAAATTTGCCGTCGGGGGTCAATCTCCAAGTCCGAACGTCCTCCTCCTGCTCCGCCGGGACTGGGTGAAGCAGTACCTGCGCAACAAGAGATGGGGGTAAGTAAACGCGTAAATAATCCACATTCCACTCACCATTGAGCATGAAGTCCGCCACGGGTAGCTGCTGAGCCTCTTTGGGAATCTCCGGGGCGAAGGCCAGCAAAGGTTCGCCATCATTGAGCCATCTGTCACTCCAGAACCTCGCCGTCCGACCGTTCCTAACGTTCCACATAGAACCATCATCGATCAGGTGCCAAACTCGCATAATTCCCCGCCATAAATTGGACAATCTGCCCTGCGTTCGAGGCACGTACTTGCCCTCCCGAAACCGAAGATACTTAGCTCTAATCACCCTTACCCAGAGCTCCTCCGGGTTCGTCATCATCCTCCAAGCCAACTTCAGCATATAGGCTTCGTTCGTGCGCCTGGAGTCCCTCAAACCCAATCCGCCCTCCTCCTTTGATGCGCAAAGGGTGTCCCAGTCGAAGAGATGAATTTTCTTGCCTCCTTCCGTACTACCCCAGACAAAACTCCTTATTTTCTTATCAATGTAGTCATGGACACTAGATGGTAGGAGAGTCGTCTGCATCGTGTACGCCGGGAGGGAGGATAGAACAGATTGTGCCGGAGTGACTCGGGCTGCAAGAGACATTGTTGCTGCTTTCCATCCTGCAAGTCTGGAGTCGATACGGTTAATCAAATCAATGTAGGTGGCCTTGGATACTCTGTCATGGATGACCGGAACGCCCAAATATCTCCCCAAGTTAAGCGTCTCCGGGATTGCCAGCTCATTTGAGATCTGAGTTCTCTGATGAGTGGACACATTCTTAGAGAAGAAGATTTGTGACTTGGGCTTGCTCACTTGTTGCCCCGAGGACGCGCTAAACGCATCAAAGCAGGTATTGATAGTCCTGGCCTGGTGGAGCGACGCTTTCCCAAATAAAACCAGGTCATCTACGAAGAAGATATGGGAAAGCGCTGGGCCCGAGCTCGTTATCTTAATGGACCGCCATTGATCTTGCCTCACCGAGTCTGTAATGATGTGGCCCAAGCGATCCATGCACAAGGGACAGCCCTGGGGGAGACCCCGAGTGAGGATGAACTGTTCCGAAAGACCACCGTTCCACTGAACCTGCATCGTAGCCGTGGAGATACACGCCATGATCAGCCTAACCATCTCCTCGGGTGCTCCTATGGCCTGGAGAGTGTCCTGAACGAAACTCCACCGTATGCGATCGTATGCTTTCGCCAAATCTACTTTCACAACCATCCACCCTTTCCGACCCTGTTTAGCTCTCATCGAGTGAACGATCTCCTGCAGAATGCAAATGTTATCCGTTATATGCCTCCCTGGTACAAAGTTTGTTTGAGTTTCATGTACTAGGGAAGGCATTAGCGGCTTAAGTCTCTCAGCTATACTCTTGGTCAGGGTCTTGTAGGCCACGTTACACAGGCTTATCGGTCTAAACTGTTCAATGTGCACCGGAGCCTGGACTTTGCGGATCAAGACGAGAATAGTTGTGTTGAAGCCGCTTACTTGCTCGCTATCTCCCCAGCAAGATTGGACTAGCTGTGTAAGAGACTCGCCCACAACATCCCAACACTGCTGGAAGAAGATCGGGCTCAAACCATCGGTTCCGGGGGCCTTCAGCGGTCTCATGCTTCTGATGGCACTCCGAACCTCCTCCTGACTTGGTGATACCGACACACGAAGCCACGTAGCCTCCTCTACCAATGGGAATTCATGGCCGAGAACAACGGAAATCCCTCCTTCATCAGTATACAAATTTTCAAAATGGCTGCAGGCGAGAGCATGGAGTTCTTCCAGTATTTCTATCCAAGTACCATCGGCCCCCTTCAAAGCAGTGATCCGATTCTTTTTCCTTCTTATCAGCGTACGGGTGTGAAAGAACTTGGTATTCTGATCTCCCCATCTAAGCCAGTCCTGGCGGGACTTTTGACACCACAAAACCTCTTCCTGAAATAAAACCGATTCCAGTTCCTCCCGGGCCGTCTCAAGGGCGGTTGAAATCTCCATACCCGTATCTCGAGCTTCCAGCCTTTCAATGCGATTCAGAAGAGCATCTTTCCGCCTCTGGATGTGGCCGAAGGTGAATCTGTTCCAGTGCTGTGCATCATGGGCGAAGGCTGCAGCTGATTCAACGAAGTTGGTTCCACGTCCCCATGCAGCGCTCGCCGTCCTTTTGAAGTCCTCGTGAGTGAGCCATGCAGCGAGGAACCGAAATGGTTTAGGTCCTCCCGGAATGTCTGGGTTCATCAGAGACACCAGGATCGGTCTGTGGTCCGATTTTAGCCGAGGAAGATGCTTAACTGACGTCTCCGGGAACATCGTTACCCAGCTGTTATTACCCAAACCTCTGTCTAGCCGTTCACGAACCCTCGACCGGAACCAAGTATAAGCCGGCCCAGAAAAACCCAGATCCACTATGCCCGCATCATTAAAACAGTCTTGGAAGTCTCTGACCCTAGCCGCGTCGAAGGGAGCACCCCCCAGCTTCTATGTAGGGAGGAGGATGGAGTTAAAATCTCCAAGGAGAATCCAGGGGCGCTCTTCGATTTAAGCCAACCTGCGGATAGCGGTCCATAGCTCACGTCTCTGCATGGGCATCGGGCTGCCATAAATTGCTGTGAGGAGCCACGTAACTCCCATACCATTGGCCTGTTGAACCTGCACATGAAGAAATTGAGCGTGAGAATCCACCCTAGTCAGTTTGAACTCCACAGAATTCCAAAGTACCCAGATACCCCCCGAAAAACCCATAGCGTCCACGAGGAAATTTTTATCATAACCCATGTCGCGGATCACCTCCTCAGCAGTGACTCCGCTGATTCGCGGCTCCACAATAATCACAATTTTAGGCCAAAACCTACGTTTTTATTCTAAGAAAGTTCGGAGAAAACTCCTGCTACCGGCACCTCTACGATTCCAATAAAAATACTACAATCCATGGAAAAGGTAGGGTAAAAGAGACTCCCTGAATGATCACTGATGGCCACAGCCATCGCTGGTCCTTGCGGACGCCGGGTTCACTGTTGGATTGGGTACTTCTCCCGAGTTCGAGGCCTCGTCGATGGCGATGTTCGGTGGCCTACCCAGGGCTGCTGCATTCAGGGTTTTATTGTTCGCATCAAGGTGGAAGTGTGGGTGCGGAGCTTGAGGGATCCTTGCTCCTTCCCCCGTATCCATCTGGTTCGCGGCCTGCTGGCGTGCTGGGGAGGCCTGCTGCTGCTCGCTTACTAGATGGTCCATGCTACCCGGGTGTGCTTCCCCTTGCTTACCAACTCCATCACTCGTAGTCAACGGGTTCTTCGCGGTGTTTATTGGTTTCTTCGTTTGTCCGTTCCCTGCCTCTTTCGCACCCTTGCTCGTTTTGGGCATTTGTGTCAACTTGTCTTGTGGCTTATTGGCTCTAGCCCTGTCCCCACCATGACTCACGTTCGGTGTGTTTACCTGAGTAGTTCCTCGTGGCTGATCATCTTCCTCATCCATTACGTCCTCAACTACGAGAACATTGAATCACGACCCCGACTTGGCTGCATTGTCCCCTAGGCTATTATTGGGCAGGGTTGTGTTTGTCGCAATCTCTTTTCTAGGGCCTCGTGGTTTCTTCTTCGCAATCATCCATTCCCCGTAAACTTTCTCCGGTTCTGGGTTTGGCTCCTTGTCGATCTCCGAGGCCATGGGTTCCTCGTCCGGCTTGCTTGGCCCGCCAAAGGAGCAAGGGCATCCAGACCGTTCAAAATATTTTCCGCAGCTTAGGCAAATTTTTTCCAGCCCCTCTTATTGAATAAAGTACTTCACGCCATGGATTCTAAATTGGGACAAGAGTGGCTTGGAGAGATCCACCTCGACACAAACACGCGCATAGTCTAGGCGGGCACCTATGCTCGTGGCTTGATCAACCCCCAGGGGTCTCCCAATTCGCTTCCCAGTCTTCATCACAGCATCTGTATTGAAGTATTGAGCCGGTATATCCAGCAACCTTGCCCATACTAGTGTCGATGAAATCTCGTGTTCGTAAGGGTTAAAATGCTTGGTCCATGTATGAACAGTGAGATAGTGGTCACCCAGCAACCACGGTCCGCCCGTCACAGCCCTTTCGTAATCTATCCCACTCGTGAACCGCACTATGTAGTAACCCTTTTTGGCCGACGCTACCTGGATAGCCCCTACCTTCGCCCAGATGGCATTCAGTGTCCGTGAGACCACTGTGTATGACGATGATCGTCCCAGTACTTTGACCACGGGAGCCGAACGGAGCTTCCTGCAATATTAACGCTCTTCGGCGGCTGTGAACGGGATATTAGGGCACAGAGGATCGTCATCAGCTTCCTCTCCTGCGTCCATACCATCTTCTCGCATAGCTTCTGCAACGTCCTCCGAATCGGAGTCTGCTACGTACCACTCGTCGGTCTTCAGGAAGTCGCTGAATAAGCGACGAGCTACTCCTGTACCTGCGTTCCAGACTGACGGCGGCGGGGTACCTGAACGCGTGCGTTGTTCTTCCGTTGTCGCCACGTCCTCCAGTATGACATCCGAGTCACTCTCAATCTGCACTCCTTGAACTGTTTGTTTGACTCTTTTCTTGCTTTGCTGGGCCTCCCGATCGCCCTTGGGATTCGGAGACGATGACGCAGAGGGAGATCTGCGTTGGCCGGTGAGGTTTTCTAGCGAATTGGCGGGTGTCCCCCCGCCGGCTAGCGGCATTGCCACCGCCGGCTAGAGCTTTAGGCGAAACCCTAGGCATAGCAGGGACTCTCGGTGCTCCTAAAATCACGGAGCACAAAAACTCTCTTCTCTCGACTCTATTATTAATTATATTACTGAAATTATTAACCGGTAACTAAAATGCTGTGACAATAAGGGGAGCCTCTGATTTAAGATTTGTAGAGCAACGTAACGGAGTTGTCAACGTTGTCAACAGTACATATTAGTTTTTTCACATACGTTATCAACATTTTTCCGTGATGCTATTATTAACCTTCTCAATCAAATTGAAACGCAATTTACCGATCGTGTTGTAAACATTATTAACATACCACATCATTATTATTAATTAGATCATCGGAATTCTTAAAGCAGCTTAACCGAGCTGTCAACGTTTTAACAATAAATATTAATGTTTTCACCTACATTATTAATAATTTCTAGTGACGCTATTATTAACATTCTCAATCAAATTGAAGCTTGATTCACTTGTTGTGTTGTAAACATTTTTAGTGACTCTATTATCAACTCAGCTCGTCAATATTAACAATATACAATATCATTATTAAAATTTCTTACATAATTTACAACAAATGACGAATTCATTATTAACAAATTCTCTTCGTTTTTCAATGTAAACAATAATATTATTAACAAACTCCGCCTCGACAGTGGGAGACCGACAAGATGGGGCGACGACCGAATGGGGAGATGTCGGATGGCGGCAGGACGACGGCAGAGTCAGGCAGGATGATGGCGGGAATGGGACGGGGAAGCTGACGGGAAATCGACGCCGGCGAAGCAGAAGACTAATGAAGGTTGCCGACGCTTATGAAAGGAAATTGTTGTGCGATGACGACAAACGAGGCGTCACGGGAGAGACGAGGCGCAACGGTGGACGGTAACGCAATGTCGGTTCAGCGATACCATACGTCGGGAAGAAACATTCTCGTTGGCTTCGGCGGCACGACAGCGACTTTTGGAGGATGAACGATTTTAGGGTTGGGAGGAGACTAATTCTCGAAACCCCAATTAATTCAACGTTTGTGTGGTTTTTCGCCATTTTAATTTTAATTAATAATATCATTAAATATTTTTAATATTCCTGTCTTACCCTTTAACGTATTATGTAGGTAGTTACCCAATGATTACTAATCATTACCTCTCTCCTTCTCCTATTGGTTGAAAGGGGTTTAAGATCTTACTTAAAAAAGAGGCCTTAAGGACCTGATATAACCCGCTAGTTTATATATCTTTCCCCATAATCCCAATTCTGAATCTTCTCTCCGCCGCTACAAATCATTGCCACCATCACTGCCGGCGCCGCTGACCAGCCATCGCCACATCCTTCCAATTTTCTGATTCTCCTAGCCGTTTCACTTTCTCGTCCTTATTTTTCTCAACCTCAATAGAAATCTTGTTATGGAGTACGTACGAGTTGCATGCGTAGAGTACGTACATAATTGTCAGCCTCACTATGTTCGAGGACTAGCCTAGCATTCAGTGCAATCCCTAGTTGAGTTGTAAATGGACTGCAGCATGTATTTATATATAAACTGTGTGCACGTGTGATGAGGTGTGTGAGGGAATTCTATGAACCCTAAATAAAGCTGCAGCCGAAGACCTCTTGAGTAGGTCTTCCATGGATTAGTCTTGCTCGTACAGAGCAAGGATACAACGTAAATCGTCGCATTCTGTGTTGTTTACTTTAGAGTTTTCTCATGGTATCAGAGCTGTGAATCGATCTTCGCGACATTCTTTCTTCCAGCGATGGGTTACAATACTGAGGAGTCTACGGCGACCCAAAACATGAAGGCGGGTACCATGTCTGGCAGCGACAAAGATTTCCCCCCGGCGTTCGTCCTCAATAACTCGAATACCCCTAATCAACTTTTTGTTGGGAAATTGCGCACCGACTCCAATTACGGTGAGTGGCTTGGTGATATCACCAATTCTTTTATTGCTAAGAACAAGATCGGTTTTGTTGATGGGACTATTTCCTAGCCGAATGTCGGAGTTCTTCGCGATCACTGGAAGGTATGTGATGCAATGGTAAAGGGCTGGTTGAAGACTGCTATGAGCAAGGAAATTCGTTCTAGCGTTCGTTTTGCCAATATAGCCCGCGAGATTTCGCTTGATCTCGAATCCCGTTTCGGGTAAGGTAGTGCATCTCGCCTCTACGAGTGCGCGGGATGATCGCAATGTTGCAACAGGAGAGATAGATTGAATCTACACCAAATTAAGAGGTTTATGGGATGAGATTCAATCTATCTCTCCGACACCTGACTGTTGCTGCGGAGGGTTCAACTTTGACGTGAAAAGCAAGTATCGGGCTACCAAGAATAGTGAGCAACTCTTCAATTTCTTGATGGGTCTCGACGAAGCCTTCTCCACCATTAAAACTCAGATTTTGGCTATGCGCCCTATGCCCAGTCTCCACGAGGCCTACTAACTTGTGAGCAATTATGAGCAGCAACATAAGATCGCCCAAGCTCGTCGTCCGACAATGGAGGCTGTCGCTTTTCATGCGCACGATGCCAAACCTCCTTCGCGCAGCTCTATTGATCGCTCTGTTGATTCTGTTCGTACTTCTGACAAACCAAAGTTTTTTTTGTGATCATTGTAAGAAACCCGGTCATACTAAGGACCGGTGTTATAAACTCATTGGCTACTCGGAACGGGGGGCAACTCGCAGCGACCGCGACGGGCGTCCGAAAGGGAGTGATCAACGCAAAGGCCCTCCTCGGGCAGCTCAGTTTGGAGTGCGCGACATCCCAATTTCGGGTTTGACGGCTTCTCAATTTAATCAGCTCAAAAATCTGTTTGGGGTGAGCTGAAATCGCCGTCGCATCCTGCTGATAAAGCAACATGTAATTCTCTTGCTTCCTCTAACTCATGTGGTGAATGTCTAATTGATACTGGTTGTACCGAGCATATCGTCAACAATCCACATATCGTTCGAGAACTACTGGTTAACCCAGGTCTGCATTTTCGGGTTCCTGATGGTTTGACAGTTGATGTTCATAGTATTTGTGCAGTTAGATTTGTCCAATGGGATGGTTTTGCCGCGAGTGTTGTTAGTACCGGAGTTTAAATGCAACATGTTATGTGTTAGTCAGCTTCCTCCATATTTCTACTTGATTTGTTATTCCTACGCGACTTTTGTGTTATACAGGACTTGAGCTCGATGACGATTATTGGGACGGGGACTCAGGCTGATGGTTTATACTACTTAAGACTTTTTGATGAGATTCGGCAAGAAATGGCTCGTGCGGTTCGCGGACATATTTTTGCTGATCTCTGGCATTCTCGTTTGGGTCACCCGTCGACTGAGAAATTAGATTTGTTGCATTTACTTCCTCATACTCGTAGGGATAATAAGAACCTTTGCTCTTCTTGTTTGTGGGCAAAACAATCCCGTTTGGCTTTCCCGTCTAGTTCCATTTCCAGTACTAGTCCTTTTGAGCTTATTCACATTGATATTTGTGGTGGTTACAAAGTCCCCTCGTTGAGTGGCGCTCAGTATTTTCTGACTATGGTTGATGACTTTACTCGTGGTGTATGGATTTATTTGCTCAAATTTAAATCTGCAGTGACCAAGTAATTGAAGTTATTTGTTCTGCAGGCCTCTCGCCAATTTGATGCTTCGGTCAAAATTATTCCAACTGATAATGGAACCGAATTTCAGTCCCATGAGCTACTTGATTTTTACACTAATGAAGGCATACGGCTCCAAACTTCTTGTGTTGATACTCCGCAACAGAATGGAGTCGTGGAACGTAAGCATCTTCTAATCCTGGATACAGCACGAGCTCTCCGTTTTCATGCTAATTTGCCCAAGACGTTTTGGGGGGAATATGTTCTTACTACCGGTTATTTGATTAATCGTCTTCCTCACAGTTCCCTTGGTAATCAGACTCCCTATTAACGGTTGTTTCAACGGCGCCCACATTATTCGCATCTACGAGCTTTTGGTTGCCTCGTTTATTCGAAAGACACTTGTCGGCCTCTAGAAAATTTCGCCGAGCGTGGTCGTCCTTGTGTGTTTCTCGGTTACCCTTCATCACAGAAAGGGTACCGCGTCTATGAGTTTTCCTCCCATCTCATTTTCACCTCTCGCGATGTAGTCTTTGACAAAACCACTTTTCTGTTTCATTCTCTGCAGAGTGACATTGTACCCATGTCGCGACCTCTGCTGTCCCCTGCTGTGGACTCTAATGATGGAGAAACAAGTTCTCCTCCTGCTTCTCCCTCTGATCACGACGAGGAGGTGTTCCCTAGCTCCCCTTGTTTGCGAGTTGCTGATATAACTAAGGATTTCCCAGCAGCTACCTCCGCGTCACCCGTTAGCTCCCCTACGTCGGAAGATAGTGCATCACCTTCCCCCTCCTAGGCCGAGAGTGTTCCAAGTTCGCTACCTGCCTTGTCTGCTTCTCCTCCGCCGGCAGTCCCTCCCACGGTTCCTCTCCTTCGTAGTGATCGCATTCGTCAGCCTTCCATGTGTCTCAAACGTTATGAGACTCATTTCCCTACCTCACGTACGACTGCTGTGAAGTATCCACTATCTGCTTGCATTACTCTTTCTCGACTATCTCCTAATCACCGTGTTTTTGTTTCAGCGGTGGACACTATTGTTGAGCCACAGTTTTTCCACGATGCAGTGCAACTGGTGTGCTGGAGTGAGGCCATGTAACATGAGATTGCTGCCTTAGTAGCCAATGGCACGTGGGACTTAGAGGAGCTGCCACGCGGAAAGAAGGCTATTGCCTCCAAGTGGGTGTATAAAATAAAATTTCATCCTGATAGGACTGTTGAGCGTTATAAAGCGCGTTTGGTGGCAGTTTGGTGGCAAAGGGGTTTACTCAGATTGAGGGTGTCGATTATCATGACACTTTCACTCCGGTTGCGAAGCTAGTCACTGTTCGCTCCGTCCTCGCTGTCGCGGCTCATCGTGGCTGGCACCTTCATCAAATGGACGTTAATAACGGCTTTCTTCATGGTGATCTGCAGGAAGAAGTTTATATGAAGCTTCCCCCTGGATTTGCTCGACCGGGGGAGACTCGGGTATGTCGTCTTCGCAAATCTATTTATGGACTGAAGCAGGCATCTCGAAACTGGTATATGAAGTTCACTCAATCTCTTTAGCAATTTGGATTTCGCCAGTCTAAGACTGGCCATTCTCCGTTTATTTATCGACGTGTCGGAGTTTATGTCTTTGCACTCATTTATGGGGATGATATCATACTTCGTGGTGATGATGTGAGGACTATTCAGTGTGTCAAGGATTTTCTGCAAAGACAATTTAGTATCAAAGATCTTGGCGTGCTTAAGTTTTTTTTGGGTATCGAGGTTGCTCATTCCCGTGCTGGCATCGTTTTGTCTTAGAGGAAGTACACGCTTGATATCTTGAAGGATGCTGGTGCTCTAGCTGTCAAACCGTGTGCCTTCCCGATTGAGCAGAACCATCATCTCACCAAGATTGAGGGTCTTGCGGCCAGAGACCCATCTGGTTTCCGTAGGCTTGTTGTGCGTCTGCAGTATTTGACAGTTACCCGACCCGATATAGTTTATGCTGTTAACATCTTGAGTCAAGCGATTCACTCACCGTCAAGATCACGAATATGCTGCGCATAGAGTGTTGAGATATCTCAAGGGTGCACCTGGGCGCGGACTTCGTTTCCCCACATCTAGAGAGCTAGTTTTGACTACGTACTGTGATGCCGACTTTGGCGGCTGCCAGCGCACACGTCGCTCCACTACAGGGTATTTTATACGCTTGGGTGACTGTCCCATATCCTGGCGAACAAAGAAACAGTCTGTTGTTGCCCGTTCATCAGCTAAAGCAGAATATCGAGCTATGGTGAGTACCGTAAGGGAGCTTGTTTGGCTCCGATGGTTACTTAGCGACTTGGGAGTATCCAGTGCTTCGCCGACCCCGCTTCATTGTGATAATAAGGTGGCTCTTCATATAGCCGCCAACCCTATTTTTCATGAATGGACAATTCATGTTGAGATGGATTGCTACTTCGTAGTGAGCGTGTGACCTCAGGTGAAGTTGCTCCACAGAAGTTTAAGTCTCAAGAACAAGTTGCTGGTATTTTCACAAAAGGGCTAGGTGCGGATTAATTTTCATTTTTGAGTTCCAAACTTGGCCTTCATGACATTCATGCATCAGCTTGAGGAGGCGTGTTATGGAGTACGTACGAGTTGCATGCGTAGAGTACGTTACTAATTGTCGGCCTCACTATGTTCGAGGACTAGCCTAGCATTTAGTGCGATCCCTAGTTGCGTTCTAAAGGGATTGCAGCATATATATATATATATATATATATATGGGGAGTTCTACGGTACCCAGGGTGAAATCCGGGGTACCGCATACCTTGAGTAAGAAAACGCTATCCAGAACTTGAATTGACTGATCTTTCGGACATGATACTATACTCTAACCCTTAAAGATCAAGATCTAGGTCTTAATTCTCTAAATCTTATACCCCCAAGATCAATTTAATTAGAAACAATAATCGACGTTTATGATTCGTCCAAATATAGGCAAAAATATCAATGCACAATCTTAGGGTTTATAGTTAATGATTTAGATAATTAGAACCTAGGGTTCACTCATTAAGGGTTAGGGTATAGTATCATGCCCAAAATTCTTGCTAATTCGAGGTCTAGATAGCATTTTCATACTCAAGGTATGCGGTACCCCGGATTTCACCCGGGGTACGGTAGAAGGGACCATATATATATATAAACTGTGTGCACGTGTGATGAGGTGTGTGGGGGAATTATATGAACCCTAAATAAAGCTGCAGCCGAAGACCTCTTGAGTAGGTCTTCCGTGGATTAGTCTTGCTCGTATAGAGCAAGGATATCACGTAAATCGTCTTGTTCTGTGTTGTTTACTTTAGAGCAATGCAGTTAAAAGCGCGATTCTACCTAAAAGCGGAAAAGGGGTAAAATCGAAAAGCGGTGAATCAAAGCGTAAAAGCGTAAGTTTTTGATGCATCCTGTATAATAGTTAAAATAATGTTAAGTACGACATAAACTATGTAAAATATGAGTTCACAGAGTTTAGATAAATGAAAAAATACCTGCAATTCATGTCTAAATTAGAACAAACTCATAACATCATAACAATAAGTTCATAAACATAACTCGTAACCCACAAACGAGTTAAGAATCCAAATTCTCACAAGCTGGTTTAAGTTTACATAATGACATATGCATTTAATAATCCAAGTCCTCACAATCAAACCACACAAATGTTATAAAGGATAGAAGGAAAACTACATCAATTCATCGACTTCCACATTTGCATCCAAATCATCATCATCACCATTGCCATCAACATCAAGTGGACTACTATATTCATGATCCCCCTCATCTCTTCGAGCATCAACACCAATAGCATCACCACCACCTTCAATAGTATGACCACCTTCCTCACCACCAACCTCTAAATCTGTAGATTGTGGTTCTCCTTCTTCATTATCACTAGCACAAATCCATTCATTATCAGAGTCTATATCCTCAAAGTCGATCTCAAGCCTTGTTGCTTTCTTGGCATTCCCGCCCACCAATTTGTTGTTGCACATAACATACACAAGATCATTCCTTTTTTGTGCACGCAAATTGTTCTTTTTCTTAGTATGAATCTACAAGTAAAAGAGTTCACATCACCACATATTCACATGTAAAAAGAATGAACGATATGATGAAAAGAAAATAGAGGCAATTTATTACTTACCCTCTCCAATTACGCTCGCACCCAGAAGCACTACAAGTCAAACTCAACACCCGAAGAGCAAATTTTTGAAGCTCTGGCACTTCATCTCCAAATCTGGTCCACCAATCAGCTGGATGTTGCCTATCCTTTAATTGCATTGCACCATACTTATCAAACATTCCATGAGCATGACGAAATACAGACAACTGCTCCATTATCAAAAACTTCTCTCATCATTCTTTGCAAGTCTAGATATGCACTCATACAATCCCATTTTCACCTTTGGATCATTATGGTTAAATCCTTGAGAATGGTGAATTTGAGGAATCAACCAATATGCAGCATAGTGAATTGGTCTACTCATTTGATCTTCCCACCTTTTGTCAATGACTTTCAAGACAGGCTTGTATCTATATAAAGTATATACAATAGAGAATAAACAAATTAGGAGTTAGAAGTTAGAACAATAAAAATATAGGTTTGTATGATAAGTTAATAGGAAAAGGAAACTCGAAATCACCTTCTTTCCACATTGTTGAGGTTGCTTTTAATCTTCTCCTTCGCTTGGATAATTTCAGAGTATAAGAAGGGCATTGCCGATTTTTCATCAGAATCAACCAAACGTAGAATCTTGACAAGAGGTTGAGCAGCTCTAAGACAATTTGTCACATTTTTCCAAAATCTACCATCAAGTACAAATCCTTGAACTCTTTTTCCTTCACGAAGCTTAGAAAAGCTACTCTTCCTCCACTTCTCAGAAGAAAACATTGTCATCAAGGAACCCTTATTGTCATTAAGAGATCCCAATGTCAAATATGATGTAGCAAATCTTGTAACAGCAGGTCTAACCAAATCTTTCCCTTGAGTTAACTCCCTCATCATGGCAATCATCATTGTTCTTGCATAAATGAAATTGGTGATCTTCTTACCATTGGAAATTGTGGTCTCGTGCACCTTAATATGCTTTGCAAGATCCTCTAGCATCAAATCCAAACAATGAGCAGCACAAGGTGTCCAAAACAAATGCTTCCTTTTTTCCATCAACAATTGTCCTCCTGCCTTATAAGCTGAAGCATTATCTGTCACAACTTGAACAACATTCTCTTCCCCAACCTTCTCAACAACTCCATCTAACATCTCAAACACCTTTTGAGCAGTCTTCGAAAAATCAGAAGTGTCAACAGCTTCAAGAAATACAGTTCCACGAGGACTATTAACCAAAAAGTTACATAGAACTCGGTAAAAAAGAATATAAATTTTAATAATTACTATATTAATAAAATTTAGGGTCAACCCAACACAATGGTTAAATAGGTTTTGGTTCATTGTTGGTTGTAGATGAAAGGCCCAGATTCCTTGTTAATTATCTAACGGTAATAAATGCGCCGGCATCGGTGCCGCCACGACACCACAAAACTCGCGGGTATTTATTTGGCCCATCTTCTTTGGCCATTAATGGCCGAACTTGAGGAATGGCGCAAGGCCGCAAGCTTCGGAGGAATTTAATGGAACATAAAACGGTTGCATCTGGGAGGATGGCATTCTTTTAATTACTTGGACCAGGCCTTGATTCCGGGGGATCATGGACCACGTATATATTTGGAGAAGGCAGGAGGACTTTGGAGGAGATAGCTAGCACATTAGTGATATCTTGGCTGTAGCTATATGGATTAAACTGATTGGAATATGTGAATTAAAGTAGATATGATAGATAGTGAATTCCAGTGTTTCTCCCAGGGCTTTCCCCATTGAATTTCTCCCGATAGTTTTCATTTAGTTACTTTGTTTATTTTATTTTGTTTTTAGAAATTAGTCTCATTAAACTATTTTCACTTATAGTTTGCTCATAAAATTGATAGAACTTAAGGTTGTACCAATCCCTGAGAGACGATACCAGGACTTTCTAGTTTACTACGAGATAGGAATTAGGCATATACACTTTTGCCTATCATCCGGCGATCTGCATTGCTTTGTTCATCGGCTGTGATCGGTGAAGGTGGGTCGGCGGGAGGTAGGTTAAGCCAGGGTGGGGTTCCCGACTAGAATCAGAGGAGCAATAGGATGATGGATAGGTGGGGTTTGTTTGCTAATTCGGTTCCAAATTATAAATTGAACAAGATAGTAAAATAAATTAAAATTAGTACGACAAATAGCAATTTCCAAAATAAATCGTGTATTCTTCTCGAACTAAATTTTGTTATCATAAGATACAAGCAAAAAAAAAATACCCCAAATAATTATTGGCGTGAAAATTTCCATATTCTCCGCATTCTCTCACAATTTCCCTTCTACGAACAAACTGTCACCATTTTCATTCCTTGAATAATTATTGCCATTTTCTCTACTCTCATTGTTTCATGTCCTGTATTCTTATGATCATCCATACTCAGTTTAATTTTTTTCTCTTAATTATATCTCTTGGGTTTGATAAAACAACAATTTCATCTTCCCTATCATCTTACTCTGGTAATTATTTAATCATTAATCCTCCTTTTATATATATAGGACAAAATGTACATTATGTGCCTCTAGAACAAATCATTGCTCTTACTTCCTAAATAATCATCATTTTTAATCTGGGTCTTGGTAATTATGATCGCTAATCGTCATGATACTTGAAGACATAAACCATTTCCCCCCTTTCCTTTGGTTGCCTTTCCTCTTTTGATCATTGGTAGTTGATTAGCTGAAATGAATAGGAATATATATGAAGCGTGTTGTTGCTTTGACAACTTGCTGATTGATTATGAACAAACATCTTAATTTCCTTGGTTGGTTTTAGGTAAAACTGGGGGAATTGATAATCTTGAGCACGCATGCAGTATGAGCTTGAGTAGTAGTTGTGATTCCGATAACCCGATGTTGGTACCATCAAGGTTTGAAGGGTCCTTGTCCTTTAAAACCCCAACGGGAGAGATGGAAAATGAGGCTTTTAGTGCCGAATCCCTAATTAGCTCCAATAATAATATTCCGTCACCATTAATACCACCTGATCATCATCATCATCATCACCACGCCGCAGCAGTGAGGTTGCAGAAGGTGTACAAGAGCTTCAGGACCAGGAGGCAGCTGGCGGATTGTGCTGTTCTTGCTGAGCAAAGATGGTTGGTATAGCTTCTTATGCATGCACTCGATCATCAAAATATTATCCATCTTGATTTGGTTAATTAATTGGTTTGTTGGTATTCATTAATTAATTCCCTGGATGTATGATGGGAGCAGGTGGAAAGTATTGGATTTCGCGGAGCTAAAGAGGAGCTCTATATCTTTCTTTGATGTTCAACAGCCAGAGACTGCTGTTTCGAGATGGTCCAGAGCTAGAACCAAAGCTGCCAAGGTGATCATCGTCATTTACAATATCATTACCAACTTGATTAGCTGCGTCAAAGATTAGTATTCTTGCTCGCATGCAGAATTTGATTGTTTGTCTGTATTTTGGTTTCTATATCATTTATATAGGTCGGGAAAGGCTTGTTTAAGGCCGAAAGGGCTCGGAAGCTTGCTTTGCAACATTGGCTCGAGGCAGTAAGCAATTATTATTCTTCCACCCTTAATTACTATCACAAAATGCATGTTGTTGAATTATTATATATTCCTCTGTCGCGCGCTAATGATTCCTTTTTTGGGCAATATATATATATATAGATTGATCCCCGACATCGCTACGGGCATAACCTTCAATTCTATTACGTTAAATGGCTTCATTGTGACAGCACACAACCTTTCTTTTACTGGTAAGAAAGAAAGCTTTCAGTAAGCCAATTATTATTATTTCTTTAATTCATCAAAGTTACGTACGTTGTATGCTCTACATATATATGCAGGCTTGATATAGGAGAAGGAAAAGAAGTTAGCCTTGAAAGATGCCCTAGATCAAAACTTCATCAACAATGTATCAAGTACCTTGGCCCTGTAAGTAAATTGTTTCTCCCATTCATCTAATTAGTACCTTAATTGCTAGCTAGTTGAAATTTGACCTTCACATATATATATATATACGCTGTAGGCTGAAAGGTTGGGTTATGAAGTGGTAATTAGGGAGTGTAAGTTGGTCCATAAGGAAACTGGTCAACTCCTCGACACCACCCGAGGCCCAAAAGACGCCAAGTGGATTTTCGTCCTCAGCACGTCCAAGACCTTGTATGTCGCCCAGAAGAACAAAGGCACATTTCAGCACTCGAGTTTCCTAGCCGGTGGGGCCACGCTCTCTGCTGGAAGATTGGTCGTCGAACAAGGCGTGCTCAAGGTATCCAATACAGAAAAGTGACTTAGACTTATGTATGATTAATAACATTAATTAATTCTCTTGCACTGTGAAAAAGCCGGGATTTTTAACTATTCCAACATGGATATCCATCATAGGCTGTTTGGCCTCACAGTGGACATTACCTTCCCACCGAAGAAAATTTTCAGGAGTTCCTATCCTTCCTTGAGGACCACGGTGTCGATCTAATTGACGTTGAAGTACGTAAGAATTAATTTTCATCGTTGCCGTAATTTTTTCTGCGTTCCATCGTTTCTTTAATAATATGTAACTACAGAGAAGCCCGTCGGAGGAGGAAGAAGAGACGATCACCAGCAAAGATGACGACGACACGAAAGACGAGGAAGACAAAGTCAACCCAAAGCTAGCCCGCAACAGCCGCTGGAAGATGAGCAAGCTGGCAATACCAAATCGGCCAAACCTGTATGACGTCATCAACCACAACGCAGATAATTCCCAAGTAGAAGTAGAAGTAGAAGAAGAAGGTTACGAGACGGCAGAGGATTCGTTGCTGAGGGAGGAAGATTTCATATTCCCGAAAATAACCTCGCTGGACGAAGAGGAGGCGGCGGAGCAATTGGAGGCCGTCCCGAAAGAGAAGATCATGGTGAGGATAAATTCGCACAAGGGGCTGGCGTCCTACCAATTGGCGAACCAGCTGTCGTGTAAATGGACCACCGGCGTGGGCCCAAGAATCGGGTGCATGAGAGATTACCCGCCGCAGATCCAGTTTAGGGTTTTGGAGCACATGGCTTCCCTGTCGCCCACCACGGGGAGAAGGAGGAGGACGAGAGGAGGTGGCTACCCGCTCAGGCCGCTGTCGCGGCCTGGAGTGCAAACGCCAACGCCAGCGTCGTCGTCGTCATCGCACGTGCCGACGCTGCATCGGAGGGCAGAGACGTCGGTGTTGGAAACTTCGACGGGAGCAATGGAAGATGCATTGCCGGCGGTACCATCTTCTGAATCAAGAGAAAGAGGCCAAGGAGAAACTGCCCAAGTAGATGACGATAGTCGATAGGGATTGATTGTTTCTGTTTTCTTTTTTCCAGAAGAATTGAGGGACAAGTGATGATTTTGCAGTTTGTGTGTTAAGGTAATTGTATAGGGTAGAACAGTAATGGAGCTAGCTACGCTCATTTTGGTGTGCAACTACGAGATGACTGAAATTTGAAGAAAAAATATTAATCCTCGACTGGTTTATTTGTATATATACGAAAGGGTCAATTACACACATCAACTTTTACATTTGGGGCAATTGCACCCATAAACTCTAATTGTGGTCTGAGTCAACCTCTTAACTCTAAAATATGGGCTAAATTCCCCCAATATTCTAACATAATATTATAAATTGTTTATAAAAAAAATTAATGGTATGTAGTACATATGGAAGACCATTTCTTTTCCCTATTCAAATCATGGCTGCGAATGATGAGACTGACTGCTTCTGGATTCGATTCAAATATGAATTTTTTCCCAGCTTCTGTTTTAATTACGGTCGAGTGGTCATGCTTGCCAGACTTGTAATTTTGATCCCCCGACAAGGAAAGAGCGGTTTGGCCTCCATATGTTGACTAAAAATATGGGGAGGAAAGTATTCGATGGTGATGTGAATCACCAGCAGTCTCGTCGCCACCCGAATTCTGTTTGGATTAATAAGGACGCTCGCGGGGCCAAGGCGACTATCGCAGGGGAGGAATTTGGCTTGCCCAAGCCAACTACACTAGTTCCTCCCGTTAATGGGCCGCACGCTGCCGAGGGAAGCCAGTTATGGATGGGGACTTCGACGAATCCTTTCATCACTACTGCATCCCACAATTCGCAGGGGAGAAGCCCATTACGGTTCCCAGTCGCTAAAGCCCCCAAGATTGTCGTAGGGAAGCCTTCTCGCCGTGGCAAGTCAAGGAAAGGGCCTACTAGCAGCCCAATGGAGGCGGATGGCCCAAGTAATCCCCATAAAGAGGCCCGTCGGAGGAGCCATGCCAAAGCGATGGATGAAGCATCCCCTGTTCAAGCGAAAGGACAGTTAATATATTCCTACTATCATGTATTCAATCATCCTACATTCTGATTTGTTCATACCACCATGGTATGCTTTCATACCATATGATATAAACTGGTAAAAAATGCATTAATGTTTTTTGTTCCAAAAATATATCAAAGTGGATATCATTTGAAGAGCACAATTAATCTATTTTTTTTTGTGCAAAAAAAATTATATTCTGACTTAAAACGATAGAGAAATCATTTGTTAAAAATTAAAAGGAAAAAGAGTAAAGGCTTTCCATAAGTGATAGAGGGGTGCCGATGTGACGGATACTGATTAAGTTATTCATGGTTACTCACCACAAGATTACATAGTCTCAATTATTTTTTTCAACAAATTAGTACCTTTATTAACCAGAAATATAGTCCGTTATGAAATTTTTAATTATATATTTATATCATATAATGGATATTCTACCTCCACTAGAAAATCGTTCTTAATTTATTAGTTACAGAATTTTGTGATGCAAAATCCATTCAGAGGGAGTGGAGTCATCAGTTGTGTCCAAGAAAAAGATAAATGAATATTCATAAAATCTAAGTTAGAGATTGTGGTATAAATCACCCCTGCATACATCCAACCAAATTACTTAATCTCTATTATGAAATGATAAAGAAGATGAACAAGTATAAGGATAGGAGAGAAAAAAATAAGAGAAGAGATGAGAAGAGAAGAGTTACTTTTTTCATTATTTATGTACATCTTACTGTCTTAGTATATTTGTATGTTCTATTTATAGTACATCATTCATACAATTATAATATTAATAAATAAATGAGATTAATACTGAACCATGAGAAGATTTCAAATCGAAGGGGAGAAGTTACAAAGAATTTGTAACATCTCATATAACATCATACGTGGTCATCCACATTTAAACACATATTTTTATAACACTCCCCTTTTAATGATCATTAGATCAGAATATGTCTCGTTAAAGCTTTACTAGAAAAATCATGATTAAACAAATAAGAGTATAGTGCATATATGCTCTCACTCATATGATATTTTCCATGTGCCCACATATGACATACACTAATTGCAACTTTCTTACGATAGTGGAGGACCTTGAACTAGTAGGAGTTCGCGCGCACGACTCTACAAAGAAAGTTTTTGTTATACTTTGGGAGGTTTTCGAACATTTCACAAAATTTCCATAAGGTAACATCCAAATAGTCTGGAATAGCATTGTGGATTAAATTAATTTTAGTCGATAAGAGGTGATATCCCGTTTTTACTGTGTATTGACCGAGTTTGTTATAATGCCGCCAAATAAGCTTGTCCTCACACGAATGTGAGGGTAGGGGGGTAAAAAAATTAAAAAAAAAAAGTAAAAACACATTGGGTGAAAGGTTGTCTTGGTTAATTGGTTCAACTGAACTCACACGATATAATTTTTTTTATTTTTTTATTTTTTTTGGAACTCACACTTATAATTTGAAGATTTTTAGTGAATTAAAACATGTAGACCAATGACCTGCTAAATTAAGTAAAGGGAACATCATTAGGTCTTTTATTTTTCCCTCATCTCAACTAAATACCTCTATTTTATTTGATATTCATTTGTTATCCTCCTTCTCGACTGTTGAATGTAAAACGATAATCCACACTCCTTTTCGCCCCAATGCCCCGCCACTCATCTTTTTCTGTTGAATTAGCAGCAACTTTGCCTCGTGCAATTGTTCCAATTGTTGATTAGGAGAAGTTGGTTAAGCACGAAGATTGAGCAAGCAAACCCCTAGTGACGGTCAAGCTCTAGACTCTAGAGAGTAACTAGCTAGAATAGAAAGGAGCAGGAGGAGCTGAGACGCTGAGTTGGTTTTGACATTAGTTAGTAGAAGTTTAAAGTTGATTGGAGGAAAGCTAGGCTGACATAAAAATCTGATGGCTCTGAACGCAATTTACCTCTTTCCGAATTACTTGGGCCATTTTTTTCTCGCCAATCCACAGTAGCTATAAAATATAAATCCATTCAATTTCAGGCATCCAGACTTTGTGATTTTCCCGGATCGCATAGCCACGCAAACCAAACATTGGCCTTCTCCGAAAATGCCGTACTATTCCAGGGCTGATGCGGACGCCGTCGACGATTTCGACGAGTACGATCCAACGCCATACGGCGGTGGCTACGACATCCACATGACCTTCGGCCGCCCGATTCCTCCCGGCGACGACACCTGCTACCCAATGGGCCGCTCCGCCTCCGACGAGATCGACTACGACCGTCCTCACTTCTCTTCCCACTCGGAGCCCTCCGCCTACGGCCACGACGCTCTTACCTCCGAGTACAGCAGCTACTCCCGTCCTAAGCCCCGACCTGGCCCCGCTTACGGATCTGGCGGCGGTGGATCGGGCTACAACGGGCGTAATCAGGAATCTGAATATGGATCGGAATACGGTCGCCGGAGTGAATCGGAGTATGAAGGCGGTGGTGGGTCTGAATCTGGAAGGCGAAAGCAGGGATATGGGGAGGAAGGTGAAGTTTATGAGAGGCGTCACGACACGGCCGAGTATGGCTCTGGAGGTTACCGGAGGCAGGATAGCTCCGAGAAGCCTGGTTACGGGAGGCGCCGCAATGACGATGACGACGAAGGCTATGGCCGCAAGAAATATGTAAGATTTTCCCAGACCCTTTTTTTTTAACTTTGCTGCTTGATTGAATATCCGGCGTGATTTTCTGACATTGCATTTGCTAGCCTAGCAATTCATCCATTCTCCGCTGCTATGTAGGGAAGTTTCATTTGTGTTCGTTGCAGCAGTGAATGTTTCTGTGATAATATCTTTGGAATTGGTCAAAACAAGCTGAAATTTAGTTGTTGTGGTAGTGGGAAGAACCATTGATAGATGGATGGTTATTGACTGCATTTTGGGGATGTTCTTCTGCTTGAATGAAAAATCTTGTTACTAAGTGGTGTCCCTTGCAGGGAGATAATGACTCTGGTGAGGATGACGACGAGAGGAGGCAGCATCGCTATAAGCATCACCACCATCGCCGCAATGATGAAGATGAATGATCGATTGATCAGCCACCTGTTACGACTATATAGAGAGAGCCATGTCTGCGCGACACTTCTCCATCTAGTACTAAATAAACAAGAGTGTTAGAAAGGCATAGTTTATCTCTGGAATTGGGTGTTATATGGAGTATTGTTTCTGTTTGTCATATGGGAGTATGAATGTGTTGTTTTCCTTTCTTTCCTAAGCTTTTAAGCCCTAAATTAACTATTATGAATTATCAGCCCAAGCTTGTGGACTGGTGTATTGTTTCCTTCCAAAGGAGTACTATCAAAATATATGAATTATGAATGGTTCTGTATGGTCTCTTTGTGCTTTTGAAGAGATGAACCATACTGTGACATTTTATATGCTATATAGTGATCAAGCTCGCTCGCTCAATTGGATTTCAACTCAGACTTGGAGTAGAACAAAAGTTAGGATCTTGAATTTTAACCTCAATTCAATATTTTTTTTTTTTATTTCAGAATCATAATAATGTTTAGTTGTTGCACATTCTACAGCAGCTTTAGCAAACAACAAGAAGCAGCTAACGGTAGAAAAATGAGGGGAGCCGGTTGAGCATTTAAGAAAAAAGGGTAGCCAGAGTTTCAGAAACAGGGGAGAAAAGGTGAAGCCATAATAAGCTTCAGATTTGAGGGAAAATGAAGTACTCAGCGTAGAAAAGGTTCCAAATGAACCGGTAGAACTCTGAGATTGCTTCCTGCACAAGAAATATATTAAGTAATTCATTAGGCTCCTAATTGCCACAAACTGCAATACTGAATGGTAAATCAGATATACGCTGTACCTTCGTATAATTCCTCTGTTCCAGTAGCCATGTCTGAACTGAAAGACAATAATATATATCATCAACACCATCCATTAGAACAACAAGCAAACAACCACCAGAAGCCATAATTGGTGATGGTTCAAGAACCAGATTTATTGAAATGAAATACAATCACATCAAACACAATAGCCTAGTCAGTAGAATACCGTTGCAATAATAAGAAATGCTGCAACAGCAAACCTCTTCATTCTAAATGGAGGAACGGAATAGATGGTGCCCAGGAAAAGACCAAAGCAGTAAAGAGAAGTGATGAATGGGCCAAAGTTCAATCCCACAATGAGAATTCCAGTCACTGCAAAAAGTGTCACCAACAGCCATGCAGTTGGGACAGAAAGGTCCCCTGCAGCAATAGGTAAATAAGGTTTGTTAACCCTGCAAAATCAAGAGAGATAAACTGAATCAACAAACTTTACCACAATGGCATAGCAGAGATTCAAGACACAGGTAGTTTCGGCTTCTACGAGCTACAAGAATAAGAAAGGTGGCTCAATGCTCTTGCAACCAAAGAAGGCCAGAAAAGGCCTTTAACACAAGAGACCATTTGATAAGCTCTGGGTTCTCGATCAATGCTCTTGCCACCAAAGCACTGTCAATAGTGGCGGATCTAGGGCTGGGCCACCCCGGGCCCCGGCCCAGCCCTCTTGCGGTTCCGAATTGGTATAGTACGTATGAATTTTTCGATATTAGGTGTTCGGTCTAGTGCTATTTAAATTCGGTCCAATATTATTTGATAATAGGATTTTGTGTAACTTGAAAAATAGTATAGATGAACATATCCAAACCACTACTCTCAATTTAGACTAAAAATTCTAGCCCAAATAATTTTCATTTGAAAAGAATAAAATGAACAATGAAACTTAAAAGTCTTACTCGTAAAAGACTAAAAGTATAAAGTTTCATTGAAATAAAAACCTCTAAACTAAACCTCAAACTTCTCTGTCAAAACTCAAAAAATTCCTCCAATCCAAAAAAAAAAAAATAGAACGATGAGACGAACGAACCCGAAACGGATTCCTTCGCTAGTTCGTCAGGAGCTAATTTTCTTTCGAGTATTTTGATGAAGAAAATATTAACAAACTTGTTGAGTCATCATTTAAATTTCTTCAGTTGAGGGGTTCACTAGATCCTAAAATTTATTTCTGTTTTTTTATGAAGAAAATATTAACAAACTAGCTCAAGAGTTTATCCTCGAGACTTTGAAGGCTATTAGATGCATTCTTTGAAAAATGATCTACGATATTATACCGCTCATGTGGTTCATAGCCAGGAATATGAAGTTTCTTCTCTTGCAAAATTACTAGAGAAGCTGGTGGAAACAAGAATGGATACACACTACACATTGATTTGTCAGTTGATTCGTCTAGTGTTATCCTAGCTTGTTTCAACGGCTACTACGGAGATAATATTTTCATCAATGAAACATGTGAAACTTATTTAAGCAACAAAATGAGCGAGGAATTTCCCGCGGATTGCATAACTATTTTCTTTGAGAAAGAGTATGTTATTGTTATGGATGAAGATTCAATTATTTTATGAATTCGCTAAATTAAAAGATCGTCATGTACAATTGACATTGTAATGAAAATTATAGCTATCATTTTTTTAACGGTGTCTAATTTTCTATTCAAATGCGGCCCAGTGCTCTACTATGTCCTGGATCCGCAGCTGACTGTCAACACATGAAATAATAATATAGTAACTAGAAGACAACCGCACTTTGTAGCGGGCTAGCAGTCCATATGAGAAAAATTAAAGCCCGGAGCTTATTACTTATTTCAGGAAATTATTATTATTTTTTTTTTTTGTAGAAACCTGCTAACTTATATTAAGCAGAAATCGAAGTTACATCGTCACGAATCAAGTGATCAACCAGGTAAATTGGTGATCTATCAAGCCAGACAATCCGTTCATCCCATCTCGTATCTGCATGTGCCATAACATGTGCTGCTTGATTTGCCTCTCGGTAAATAAACCGCCAGCTGCTGTTGTTTGCCTCATCAAACATCCGTCTCACATTTCGGCCTAGAACGCCGATCTCCCTCTGCACTAAGTGCGGGTTTTGGATGAACCGAATGGTGTTTTGGCTATCCGTCTCAAGTATGATGGGCTCATAGTGCATTTGCCTCGCAAGTTGGACTCCCATTTCAGCAGCTAACACTTCCGCCTGATCTACACTCCACTCCCCTTGGACCTTCTATGCTGCTGCTGCCAAAAAACGTCCTACATCATCCCTTACAACCACCCCCAAGCCTGCTCCTCCGCACGCCAGAATGCTAGCATCCGTAGCTACTGAAACACTACCTGGACATGGTCTTTTCCATTTCTTCTCAAATTGGCCCTCTCCCATTTCTCTAATAGCTTCTTCGCTACTTTAATGCTCCTTGTAGTCACGCAAGAAGTAATGGGCTCGAACAAAAATATCATCTTCCGGGTTCTTATGATCGTAGAAGAGTTGAGCATTTCGTTCTTTCCACAGGAACCACAACAACGTGCACCATTCCTCCACCACATCCTCTCCCATCCGTTGCATAACCTGTCTTGTCCATTCGAAGCAATCACCTTCACCCCTCGCTTCAAAACAGTCCCGCAACGCCGTAGGGCGCCATATGCGGGTCGTCCAGCTGCATTCTCCGAATAGGTGAATCTAAGTTTCTTTGATATCGCAGAACGGGCAGCGGTCACTCCACTTCCTACTCCGGGTACTAACATAATCCCCCATCGGCAAAGCGTCTCTCATAAATCGCCACATGAACTGTCTTATCTTCGGAGGAACCTTCATAGCCCACATTTGTCTCCATGTTTCATTGTCACCAACCGCACTGAGACCCTTGGCCTTCAATTCGCTCTCGAGCCATACTCTGTATGCGTCTCTAACAACATAATCTCACGACTCACTATGTCGTAGGGGTGGGCATACGGTTCGGTAAAATCGAACCTAACCGAACCGAATATAAACTGAACCGAAACCGAATTAATGTTATTCGGTTCGGAATTGGAAGAGAAAATGACATATTTCTGAAACCAGGGTCCTTTCGACCGAACCGAATTTCCGAATTCCGAACCGAAAAACCGAATTATTATAATTGCAAGCTCTAAATGGTGGGTTTTTATGTTTCTACTTATTATGAGACTTAAATATTTGAATCATGTTAGTGTTTTATGACTTATGTGTTGAAATGTTTAATTTTATCATTGATGATACATATTTATTGTTTACATTAGGGTGAAAAATAATTTAAAAAAGAGAAAATACAACCTAACCTCACTATTTCGGTTTTGTATGAAAAACCGAACCGAATTATAATTCGGTTTGAACCGACCGAACCGAATTATAATTCGGTTCGAATTCGGTTTGAGGTTTGATAGAATTCGGGGACCCGGTATGCATAATTTCGGTCGGTTTGAACGAACCGACCGAATGCCCACCCCTACTATGTCGCCACACCATCCAATCAGCCTCAACACCTCCGCAAAGGAATCTAGATAATGGCCCTCGCCACCGTCTCCGGGAAGCAGCTGTCAATCAGAGGAGCATCCCAGGCTTCGGTCTCCGTGTCAATGAGCTCCCGAACAGTAGCGTCCATCGGCAGCCCCATTGGCGGTGAGGTTACGTACATCTCTGGGATGGTGGGGATCCATTTGTCGCCCCAGATCTTGACCAGCGTACCATTACCAATCCTCCAGCGCAAACCGTTGCATAAAAATTCCTGAGCACTCATCAAGGATCTCCAAATGAAGCTCGAATTATGGCCACAGTGGGCATCTAAAATGGATCCATTTTTGTAGTATTTGGCCTTTATAATCCTCGCCACCAAGGAGTCTTCCCTCTGGTGTAACCGCCATAGTTGCTTAGAAAGTAGGGATCAATTGAAACCTTTAAGATCACGAAATCTCATCCCTCCATCTTCTTTGCTCTGCGTTAGTACTGTTTTTCCCGCCCAGTGGGCGCGCTGCTCAGCTCCACGTTACCCCCACCAGGAATTGGTGATCAGGCTATTAATCTCATCCAGCACACCCTCAGGTACTCGGAGCACTGACATAGCGTAATTGACCTGAGCCTGAGCTACAGACTTTATCAGTACTTCTCTGGCTGCCGAAGACATGGTTCTCTCCTTCCACCCTTTTAATTTCTTCTGGATCCGCTCTTTTATCTCAGCAAAAAGAGCCTTCTTCGATCTCCCCGCTTCCGTTGCTAGTCCCAAGTATTTTTCATGCTTTACTACACACTTCATACCCAACACTTCTCCTATCTCCAGCCGCCGGTGAGTCTTAACGTTAGAGCTGAAGGAGATCTCCGACTTTTGGAAGTTAACGAGCTGCCCCGATTCCTTTTCATAGTCGTTTAAGATGCGTTTCAGCTCCATACTCTCCTGTGTTGTGGCCCTGAAAAAGAACACACTATCGTCAGCAAAAAATAGGTATGACACCACTAGGCCCCTTTGAGCCGACTTGAAGCCATGAATTCGCCCGCTGCAACCGCCTTTTCCATGTACGCTGATAGACCTTTCGCGCACAAGAGGAAGAGATACGGTGATAGCGGGTCTCCTTATCTCAGCCCCCTCTCAGGAGTAAAGACTTCCAAACTGTGTTCGTTCA